ACACACACACACACACACACACACACACACACACACACATATGTATATACACATAATACATATAAATATATGTATAATAACTTTATCAAAAACTAATTAACTTTTAATATTATTACTATTAATATTACTAGTTTAACTTTTTGATCGAATTGTATCTTATTCTTTTTATACTCGATTATACTATAAAGATACAGATAAGAAGCCTATCTATTTTTTATTATATACTATATTGGACTGCACTTTGGACAGAACTTTTTATATCGCCAAACAAGTATATATTTCATTTTAAATTTATAATTATAGTTATAGTTATAGTTTATTTCATTTTAAATACGACGAGTAAACACCACGTCAGTTACAAAAAACAGACCTAAAAATAAGAGAAAACTCTTCTCTCGCAATTAATAATATGACAGTACAATCATTTTCATTAATATTTCAGTGGACTCAACTCGATTCTTACAATTTGTTTTCTATTTTATATAATTCTATTTAATAATTCTATTTTCAGAGTTTTGTATCCATGATGTTAAAAATTGAATTAACATCATGGAGAGAGAACGGAGAGAATTAATCAATCGTATAATTGAATAATTCAGCCAGTTAACGTAAGGCTTTGCTTTTGATTCAGACTATATCATAGAGCGCTAGGCAGAGAAACGAGATTTCAGAAAAACAGGATATTTTTTTACTCTTGTTGTTCATCAAGATAGAATAAAATAATATCTGAATGTATTTGGGTGTTATTTCTAAACTTAGCTTCAAGAATATAAATAGTCCCAAGCTCTCTTTCATTCCACAGTTAATAGTACGCAGGGCTCGTTCCAATTAATATATATTTTGTGGTTAAACTTTTGTCTACACCATAGTTAAATTTATAAAAAATTTGAAAATCGTTCAAATTGTATTTGCAGTGTAAGTGATATCTTTTTTGTGAGATAAGTGAAAATAGATATAATCGTCAATTTGTTTGTTTTAAAATAAATCTATATATTTAAAACATTTCACGTAACAAAAATGCAGCAATAAAATATCACTCCAATATCTTTAATATAAAAACAAACAAGATGCAATTAGGGAGCGTAAATGTAAAAACTAAAAAACCTCGTACAATCACAGGTTTTTAGCTCTCTGTGAAATTTTAGTATGTTATAGTTTTTGACTTACTGATCAAAAGTTTCCTTAGGCACAAAATTTAAAAATGGCTAATTTGTTTGCTGTAGCCATTTGAAATGTTACATTTTATCATTATTTTTGTAATGTTTCAAATTGGTTTTTTATAATAAGTTAAAGGATTTTTAGATAATAATATGTGATTTATCAACATTTGAGAAAAGTTTATGTGTATATGTGTATATGAGTTTGCCTGTGCATGTGTGTGTATTTATATGTGGAGAAGGGGACTAAATAACTACTGATATGCTGTTTAGTTCTAAAAACACATGTTTTAAAATGTAGTGTAACAACAAATAATACATATTAATTTTCATCCATTTACTCAGTCTCACACACCACACACACACACACACACACACACACACACACACACACAC